TACGCTGGCCGCTCACAGCGCTCGGCCGGTCGTCACACTTTCTATCCTCCCCGCTGAGACACAGAGCAGCACCCAGCGGGGAGGAAAGAAAGCATGGATGCGCCAATGTATCGGCAGGAAAATGCCACTTTCGGCATTTAGCCTAAAGTGCCATTTTCAGCCGCCGATATATCGATGCATCCCTAATCAGCACCCAATTTTTTGGTAAAATATTGAAGATGGTGTCACGTCGGGTAAATAGACACCAAGCATGTCAAGCTTTAAAATTGCGTACGTCCGCAAAAAACTACCATGCCTAAAATTGGCCATAGGCAACACTTTAAAAGCTTTTATCGCTCATCAGTTTAGTGTTATTAGTAATTAATGGCCCTAAAATTATTGCTCTCACTGCAACGTTTGCGGTGATATGTAACACGTGGTGTAATCGTTGTTTTCGCACGTAGGCGCACCCCACGTGCATTTACCTTTATAAGTGCGTGCACACGGGGGCCTTAAACTTTTTTTGCTGTTTTTTATTTTCTTAAAGTGACATTAAACCCTCAGATTTTTTAACATAAAACAATACTGTAATGTGTGCCTTACTGTAGGGCTGCAACAACTAATCGACATAATCGATTATAATCGATTATTGAAAAAGTTGTCAACTTTTTCAATAATCGATTAATCGGCTTCTGATTGGTTGGCCCTGTTCACGGCTCCACACACGCTGCGCGCCACACCTCCTCCCCACCGCCTGCCCAAATCCACGATCGGCACAGGGACGCGGGGAGAAGAAGTAAGGAGGAGCAGGTGTGGGCGGATGACAGCCGCCGATAGACAGGCCTGATCTCAGAAGCAAGTTGCTGGAAGACTGCTCAGGTAAGCCTGCACTTTCCCCCCACATGGTGCTCTATAACAGTGGTTCTCAACTCGTGGGTCGCGACACCCTCTGCAGTGGGTCGCGGCGTCATGTCTGCATAGAGCGGCCCATCTGCATTAGAGAAAACTAGAGGGGGAATTTGTGGTTCAGCCTGTGGAACCTCATAATGTCAAACTGTCCCCTCTCTCCCGGCCTCCCCCGGGCTCTCCGATAAAGTGGTATGGCCCGGGGAGAGAGGGGACTATTTCCTCACTTTCGGGCCGGCGCATT